TGCCTTTGCACAGGGGCGGGCGGCGGGCAGCGTCGAAGTACCTTAAAGGGACAGGCCGCGGCGGCTGCCTTCCGAGCAGCTTCGGTTGCAAAGGGAGGCGGGAAAAGCTTGGCCAAGTCGTCTCCTCCTTCTCGGCCTTAAACACACACACAGCGCAAACACGCACACACCTCAAGGCGCCGGAGGGACTCGCCCACGCGCTGTCTCTTCGCAGAAGGTCCGGGAGCGCATCGCGAAGGTCGGCCCCTGGGCGCTCTGGGGCGGGAGAGCGCCGCTGGGGAGAGAGCTGCCCGTCCAGGGTCGGCCTCGAAGGCAGCCCGGCCCCTGCTTTGGCGGCACGGGGCGCACCTTCGGGCTCAGCGGGTGGCGGCTGCCCAGGATAGTTGGGCAGAAAGGGGAAAGGGCTTCGCTGTCCGCCGTGGACGCGAAGAGCTCTTCCTGTTGTGACCCAGATGAGTAGCTACTCCGCCCCCAATGACCTGTTGCTGGCTCGTGCTGTCCACGTATTCGTTTTTGAAAAGCCTGTAAAACGGGACGAACATTTGATCTCCCTCTTTCTCGCACACACTTTTTTTTAACTGCAGAGCTAGGCGAAGTAGATTGTTGCCTTTCTTTCACGCATTTTGTCATCCGGCAGGGCAACAGCATAAAATGAGCAACGGATACTGGCACAAGAGTTTAAAGCGCCCGGCCGTTACCCACGAACGCGTGGTCTCCTCTCCCGGCCCTCCATGTTACCTGAGTCTTTGTGGACTGGCTAGAAGGATGGTCTCCCCCTCCCCTTTAAATGCCTTTTGTATAAGTTGATATTGCGAGCAGATATGAATAAGAAACGACCTATAATTAGGAGATCATAATCCATGCACATTTCTCAGCCACAGTGTGATTTGGTTTCGCCTGCTGTATGAATCCAACTGTTAATAAGCCATAGTTTATGGCTTAGCGTGTAATGAGAACAGCCAATTTGGGTTTAGTTGATAAATTATGATTGAATGGTGGCTTAGCATGTGCTTACCCAGCAACTGACTGAATTGGACAAATAGGCCAGTGACTCTTCACTGCTTCCTGCAGTCCATGCCAAGCTCCGTGAAGGGCTTAAGTAATCCATTTCAAAGCATGAGAGCATAGCTGTAAATGCAATGCTTGCTTTCCTCTTTTTCTCCCACACCCTCCTTGGAGGAAAAAAGCCTTCACCTCCAGTAAGCGGAGCAGGTGCTTATATAGATACAAGCCTGATGGCACCTTTAAGCTGAGCGCAGCAGATGTCCCAGACAGCTGACTGCTTGTAGGTAAAGCCACACCAAGGAACTTCAAATGATACGGTAGAAAAGTTAATAGTGTGTACCAGAAAGCTAACGCTTTGCTTACCTTCTCTGAACAGCAGTGACCTGAATCCCAGGAATAACTGCACTTAAAAATAAGATCACAGCACATGTGAGGTGCGCAAAAAAAATTGTGCTATAGCTCTTGTTAATGATTTTCTGATTTGGGCAAATGGCATCCTTTTCTTTTTCTTTTCTTGGAACAAAATGGCAAAACAGAAGACCTGCTGGGAAGCTTTGCATTATTCTTGGTTTTTTGTGCCTAGCCTACTACATTCCATAAGAAAAGGCAAAGAGTGAGATAGGCAGAAACAACTAGAGACAGGAAGTCCCTCAAATAACCAGGCCCTGTGCCGTGAAGGGCTATATAAGTGACAACCAACATCTTGAATGGCACTTGGGAACCAACTGGTAACCAATGAAGCTCATGCAGCAGTGACGACACATGGACAGCACAAGGAGCTGTTGCATTTTGGACCAGCTGAAGCTTCAAGGGTAGCCCCATGTAGAATGCATTACAATAGTCGAATTGTGAGGTGACTAGGGCACAAGTGACCATCTGAAGAGCCTCTGGTGCAACTGGCAGACAAGATGAACCTGTGTAAAGGCCCTCCTTGTCATAGCTGCTACCTGCTCTTTGATAATTACAGGTTTGGTATTTGTGCCGTACCAAGGCATCTGTATATGTAAAAAAATATAAGCTCAGTAGCAACATTAGAGTTTTTTATATGCCAGAAATGTAAAAATTGCTAAATGTTTAACAAACATGTAACATGCATATCAATACTGTGGAGCCCTAGAAGTAAGGCACTGTTACTTAGCCATAGTCATTTTGAGATTAGTAGCTGGAGTACTGCAACATAATTTAATAATCTATAGCAGTAAATATTATTGGTTTGAAATCAGAGTACGGTTCAGTCATTGGACCTCCTGAACATTACATACAAATCTTTTGTAAGGTTCACGGCTACCCAGAAAACTTGAAATCAACCAGCAGCACAAAATAAAAGACTTCAAGCAGGGACTTCTCTAAGCAGCGTTTTATTTGGCCA